AAAAAAAAAAAGAAGAAAATATAAACTACACAACCGTGTGAAGACTTGTAACAGATGTTCATAGCAGCATTATTCACAATAGCCAAAAAGTGGAAACAATCCAGACATCCACCAACTGATGAATCAAATGTGGTATATCCATACAATGGACTGTTACTTGGCCATAAAAAGAACAAAACACTGATACATTAAAACCTTTATGCCAAGTTGAAGAAGCCAGTCACAGTAGACCAGGTAATATGTGATTGCATTTATACAAAGTGTCCAGAATAGAGAAATTTCTAGAGACAGAAAGTAGGCTAGTAGTTCCTTAGGCCTGGGTGGGATGGGGCATTTGGGAGGTGATGGTGGAGGGGTATGGTGTTTTGGTTTCTTCTTGGGCTGCTGAAAATATTCTGAAAGTGGTAATGGTGATAGGTGCACATTCTGTGAATATACTAAAACTCACTGAATTGTGGGTTTAAATGGATGAATTGTACAGTATATGAATTATATCTCCATAAGGCTGTTAAAAACTTTTTAAATTAAAAAATAAAAATAAAAACTTTTTAAATAATGGAAGTGGGGGGAAAAAAAGAAGAAGATAGCAGGAGGGGAAGAATAAAGGGGGGAAAATCGGAAGGGGAGACGAACCATGAGAGACGATGGACTCTGAAGAACAAACTGAGGGTTCTAGAGGGGAGGGCAGTGGGGGGATGGGTTAGCCTGTTGATGGGTATTGAGGAGGGCACGTTCTGCATGGAGCACTGGGTGTTGTGCACAAACAATGAATCATGGAACACTACATCAAAAACTAATGATGTAATGTATGGTGATTAACATAACATGATAAAAAAAATAATGGAAGTGGGGAGCCCTACTGGAGGCAGGAGATGACGTGGCTTTCTGGAGGAATCAGAGCAGATGGAGTACAGTGAGCAAGAGTGGGCTAAGCTGGGGATGCCTGGGTGGCTCAGTCAGTTAAGCGTCTGCCCTCGGCTCAGGTCGTGATCTCGGGGTCCTGGGATCGAGTTCCACATTGGGCTCCCTGCCCAGCGGGGAACCTGCTTCTCCTCCTCTCTCTCTGTGTGGTCTCTCTCTCAAGTAAATAAAATCTTTAAAAAAAAAAAAAAAAGTGGGCTAAGCTTCCATTCCTTCCTGCCTCATTTCTGTCTCTCTCCCCCTCTTTGGTTTGTATTGACAGGAGACAGAAGAGAATAAAACCAAAGGATTCGAATGCTTACTGAAGGCAGCTGAAGCTGGCGACAGACAGTCCATGATCCTGGTGGCTCGGGCTTTTGACACGGGCCAGAACCTCAGCCCAGACAGGTACTGTGGTTGTCGCTCAGGTAGAACTGTGGGATCTTGGGCTGCAGGTGGCTTCCCCTCAGTATCAGCACAGACCCGGGTTCCAGGCTCAGCTCCCCCAGTCCCAGTCTCCTACTGTGGACGAGATCATTCACCTCCCTGATCTCAGTCTCTTCACAGTGTGAAATGGGAATAATTAAAGAACTTGTATCCCAGGGTGGTTGTGTGAGGGTTAATTGAGATGATGCCTGTAATTCTCACTGTGCTTGGCAGATTCAGTGTGAGATAAATGACGGACCTCTTAGCCATTATGTGAAAAGATTTGCTCTTGATCCAGAGTGGTTGTCCCTAGATGATGGGATTAAGGGTAATTTTAGTTTTCTCTTTCTACTTTTATTTTTATTTATTATTTTTT